GTTTTTTTCTATACAATTAATTGTATGATATATCGCGTTTTATATTATATCAATTCTTGCATTAATTTTCTTATTTTAATTTATTTTATGTGTGTATGTGTTCTTGTTCATGTATATATATATTTTTATACATATCTTATATTCAAAGAGAGAAATTTTTTTTTCTAGCTTCGAGTGTGGAATATATAAATATATTGTTCTATTTTATTCTACCAATATTTTATATCGTACATTTTATCGATTCACCTAGATTTCACGACTAAAATGTCCATCCCTCCCGTCGTTACTTAAATAGAGTTTTAACGTGTTTATCAATACTTTGCAGTGTCGTTGAACAGCAAATTCATGTTCACGTCGCATCGTTACTCGAAAAATAGATTCAGATCTAAAGATCGGCGATAAAGTTCGCAGCATCACTTGCACAATTTATCTGCGCGACTTACGTACGCTTGATCGCGCTCGGCCATTGACCGATTAATCAATTAAGCGGCCGATTAATTATCAAGGGTCGGCGCGGAGGAACAGGATACCGGTAATTAAATCGTCGCATCGAGTCCAATCGTACGTGCACTCGAGAGACGAGAGAAAGCCGGAGAGCAGCAGCGCCCACAAATGATTTTGTCGTAATGGCGTGGGATACCCCGGACCGGCCCCTGTGCCTGGCTAATTAAGTCTTAGTTGTATTCGCGTGCTTTTTTTGGTCGTTGACGATCGCTTCGAGAGGCAGCCGATTCTCGGGGGACGCATCATCTTCAAAGTTGGTTTACATGGGACGATACCGGAACGCATTTGGCGCAAGTTTGACGAGACAAAATTAAAAAATCGTTAATTTTATCGCATCTTGTTTTAATTGAATGTTTTAATGTTGTGCGCTCTTTGGTCCTAATTTTTAATAACCCTGACATGATGATTCTCTAGCTGCGTATATTTTTTGGGGGACTTGCAGGACCATTCCGAAGAAAACTCGATATTATATTGGCCAGACACGATCGTGAAAAAAATCACATAATTGCATATAAAGAGAGACAAACGCAAGAGAAGCACGTGTTGTTGCATCGCTAATAAATATGATAATTGATTGGTCGTGCGTATCAAATGCATCGTATATTGACTTATTAGCGAAATGTCGCTTTCAAGTATTTTCTAATGTAATAAAGTAATAAATATGTATGTTTTTGTGCTTATTGATTATTTATTTTTTTCTAGGCTTAATGATATTAAACGCGGCTAATTTTTAGTCTTCATTATAACAATGTTGCTTTGATATGTTAAAATATACATTATAACGATTTTTGTGTTTACTGTTTGATTAAAATCGCTAGGTTATCAGAATTTAATTATAACCATTAAAATGTATTATTGAAGTAATCAATTAAACTATTACTAATATTAATTGTTAGAAATTGATACTTATCGACACATATTTATTGTTAGTAACAAAATGGACAATTATTAATTATCGATTTTTAAAACAAACTCGAGCCACATGTCTTGTTTAACGAGTAATCTAAACAATATTTAATAAGATATCTGAATTGATGAAGTACATTTATTTAAAAGTTAGCGGCAACGTGCTCGAATAAGATCCTTACATAATATTAAATTATATATAGTTTGCGGATTTTATTTCTTTAATTTGTTAAAAACTTTATTATTACGACTTTAATATTTTTTATTTTTTCTCCAATCACGACTTTTTTTTTACCTAATGCAATAAATGATAACGATTGTTACTTATTTTTTTCTCTACAAGAAGAGAAAGGAGAACCACTGTCTTATCCAAGTAAGACGATGAAGGGGGATCGTCCCCCGTCGACGCAATCTGGCGTCTCGTGTACGCCAGTGTCGGCTATCGCGATAAGTGATAGCGCGCGAAAGACCGTCGAAAAATCCACGTGTGTGTACATATACGGACGCCGTGCATGGGCGGGCGTGGGAACCGCAAATAAGGGCCTTATCGTCCCAGAGCCTAAGAATGATAGCGATTTTTTGCTGCCGGCAGCTCCCGAAGGGAATCGCGCGAATCATCTAGTCGGCTGATCTGCGGGGCCGTCGTGATGGAATTTCGTGTCCTCCCCCCCCCCCCCCCCTTTTGAAAAAACCGGGAAAAATCGTTGTTGCCGTTTCTTTTTTTTTTCCGCCGATACCGTCGTTATTTGCTGATTTCGGTGCGCGATACTTCGAACAGAGAGGAGTTCATGCGTGAAGAGCGTTGTCCTATTCCTTTCACCGCGTGTGTTCCTATCCCTCCCATGGGAAAGTACACAAATTCGAAAGTGTAATACGACTGAATATACGCGCGATTACGCACGTGTGTACGTGCTTCCCATCAATGCTATGTTTCCGTGGGATATACTCGATATATCATCTTCAAGGTAGCGTTTTTTTAAGGGCTTCAAAATATAGAAATAAAATGTCACAAACACATTCTTTTTTTATATACAGAAAAAAAAAATTAATAATCGAGAAAATTATTGATAATTAATTAAACTCTAATTTCTCCGGAATTAAACCTTAATCTTCTCAGATCTTAATAGAAGCAATTATATATACGCGTGTTTAAATTGCACGTATTTTAAACGGCTAGTTCCTAGCTCGTGGACGATAGTCTAGCGTGCGCATCAAGAATTAGCTGCGTTCACTGGATGCATTCGGCGCATCCGGGCTCTTGGCCACTCGGCGAAACGCTCTTTAATTTACAAAAAAGCGCGAAAACGAACTCCACCATCTGGCGTCTGCCAGATCTCGGGGCTCGCGTCCCTGAAAGTTGCAACCGCTCTCGTTCGTCTTCTCGGGGTCGTGGAACGAGAGAAGACATACACACTGACTCGCTCGGGGCCGCGGGGTCTGTGATGAATTTCTCGCGAAATGCCTGACATTAAGCTACGACCAAGTTCAGCGCCCAGGGCGCGTGCCGTGTGGCACGTATATTTGTAATTCTAATGGAGAGAACGCGCTCTCGTGCGGCGGGCCCCGCTCTCAATTCTCTCTCCTTCTTTTTCCTCTTTCCTTTTTTTTTCTTCAGCACGTAATAGTCGAGCAGGAATTCGGGGCCCAGGGCTGCGGTCCTCCTGGAAAAGGTGGGCTCTTCAAGATAGGCGCGGTGCGCCTCCAAGATCGTCCATGACGTCCACACCCACCCTTTAGATCGGGATTAAAGCTTTTAAAGCGAGGGGCCGAAGCCGCTCATCAACCGCGTCAGATCTATGTCGGCGAATCAATTCATCGCATCGTCTACGTCGCGTAACGCAACATTATACGAATCATGTCGCGCGTATCATAAGTATTACGGTGGATTACACGCGTTATAATAACAAATGACTTTAGTAGCGTATCCTGCCATACACTGTCATTACTATGATTAGGATACGAGATATATCAAAGCAACTATGTTTTTCATGAAACTTTCTAAAAGAGATGTCCCTCTGCTGCTACACAGGTTCTTGTAAAAAATGATTTGCAATATCAAAGACAAATAGATTTATAAAATCCCAATTTTCAATTTGGTTCTATTCTCTTTTAAAAAAATGTGTATAAAATAATTAATCGTCTTTTAATTTCGAACTACCGTTCTTCACAATAACAAAAACTTTTCGTTAGATTTCTAAAGACGTCGGCTAAATTGATCTCGAACGTGCAAAGTTATCATTCGTCTCACGTATCACAATATTTTGCCAGCGTGAACGATGTTGCGGAATCGCCTACCGTCCGCGCGAATACGTGTAATTGAGCATGTAATTAAAAAAGGGCTTGATAATGGTGGCACGGCTAAAGTCGCACAAAGCGATCGAGCGTGCTATTAAGTCTCGTAATTGAATCGACCAATAGGTAGGAAACGGTTTCCACTCTCGCGCCTTCACACTTATCTATAATCTTATAACGGCGAAAGACAGTCTCAGTTTTCGGAGCGGCTTCAATTTCAACGCAAAAGATCGCTCTTTAAGACGCTGATAAATAAAAGATTATTGCGCCTTATTCAGCACGAGTGTGGCGGGCCCCGCGGGGTCCCCGTGGATAAGTGGGACAGCTTTACGCAAGTTTTTATATCCCCGGCATTGTCACTTGGACCTCTCATACCATCTCGTGCGGAGCTCTACCTGCCAACGTCGCCGTTCCATGGATCTTCCTTTGGACCATTGATATACGTCGACCGTAAAAGCACGCTGCCGCCTGATAATGCGCGAAGGGAACCATACGGAGGTAGGGAAGGGCGAGAAAAGGGCGAGAGAGAAAAGACAAAGAGAAAGAGAGAGACATAGCGACCGGTGTAGGGTCGCGTCGATGATGGTTGTGGCGACGACATAAATAAGGGTCGTTGGTACGTGCGCAGGTATAACTGTTCCCGAAGTGAGTACACACCGTCCTGTACCTCGCTTACCGTTGTCTTGTCTTTCTCCACGTCGTCTGGTGAGAACCGCCAGAGGCGTCCTCCTCGACGCGCTCGAAGATAATAGCGACGCGCCCATAAATGTGCGCGAGATGCGTGAGTATGTGCGTGTTAAATTCTCTTTTGCGAGAGACGCGAGCTGCATCTTGCTTCCGATTTTGCAAATGTAAAAGGAATTTTGAGTCGTGCGCTCTGACGTTATAATCTATGCAAATCCAGATTGTACGGAAGGGGCAGTGTTACGCAATATGATTTGATTTAGTTTAGCATGTTGGATGTTGACGTAACATCTCAGTCAGTTTATGAATTATAATTGTAAAATAATTGTGAGAATTATGGAAAAAAGAAATCCAGTCTAAACTAAAAATATAAGATACAGCGAGATGACAAATATGATAAACTCAAATTTGAAAGACGCCATATAAAATTGATTGAAAAAGATATTATATACGACGTAAAAAATATGTTATATATATATATATATATATATATTATATATAACGAACTCAGAAGTTTTGTTGACATAAGATTATATTTATTGCGATGACACGTAGAAAGTGTCGTTAGTCTTTGATGATCTTTCGATACGGTACATATATAATAGTTATAATAATGTATATGTGAATAGTATATATTTCCATCATTACATATAGCTAGTGGCAATAAAAAGCATTAATTTGTTGCAGTTAATTTTTATAAACGGTTGTATACTTTTCCAATCGACATACATTATCCTAATATATAGGGTAAGTTATTAGAAATATAGAGCGTATACTTATATTTATCTACAAATACAACAAAATTTAAATATACAATAAAATGGAATTTAAATATTTCCAAGACACAAGTACGACAAACATAGTTTTATTTTCTTAAAGTCATCTTTGAGTTTTAATATAGAGATAATTTTAAATATGTATTATAATATTTTACGATAATATAATGCTGAAATAATTTTCGACTCATAGAACTTCAAAATCGAATAAAATGGTCTTTTGAAATTTAAAAATATTATATTTTACGTAACAGATAATATATAAATACAAGACTAGGAATATCTAATCATTATCTATTAATTATTACTAATATTAAAATTCTATTTTGTTCTTCGCATTTTATAACAGATAATTACTGCTAGTGTAATCTTAAAGTTGAGATAAATAGAAATGTATCAAGAAAAACAAAAACTAAACCAAATATTAAATTTTGTTATTAAAAATAAGGTATATGTATAAGAAATATAAATAGAACAATTGTTTTCGATCTGTATTCAATCGTCTATTATGAGATAATATATTAAAAAATTTAATTTTATCAAATGACGGGCAAATATAAATACAACACATAATAAATAAATGAAATTGTATTGTTACAGATTTAATATAATTTTTCATCAAAGTTGAAACGCTATTAGATATTTATAAAAAATAATTAATAATCAATTTAATTCTTACTTATACAATTAAACCAATTTAAAACATTACACATATTGATAGAATATACAGAAAAATATATATCATCTCAATTAGAGAGATCTGGTAGACATAATGTCATGTCTATAAGATTATATCTTTTCGTAACTTCTTATAAAAATAAGGCTGGTAGAATGCTGATCCTTGTAAAAATTGCAATTATTATTAATTATCAATTAAAAAATGTGATGGGATATTTTAATTGTAGAAGAAATCCGTAATAAATTCGAAACAATTGGCGCGCGGCCCATATGTGTTGATATGTTTCGATCGTGATACATCTGAAAATCATGACTTATATTATATTCAACACAGTTTTATAAATAATACAATTGAAAATTTGATTTTATTTTAGTTATATATTCTGCGAATTTGTTCGTTTAGTATATATATACACATTTTAAGGGAATAACACAGACAGACTATCAAAGAAATATGTCAACAAATATGTTCTTGTATTTATTTTAATGTTTATATACTATCACAGTACGTATAAAGAGACATCCGAGATATATTTTATTTCTCTATTTATTTCTTTCCTAGAAAGTTTCTGCAGATACATGAATATATGATACAACATCGACATGATACTCTTGAAACTATTAATAAGTAGCGGATTAATATTTATGACCGCGACGGCTTTTTATCCCGATGAAGCTTCATCCAAGCTATTAAATTATATAAAACCAAAGCATTACGATATCAAGCTTATACCATTTATTGAAGGACAGATTTTCTACGGCGAATCCAATATCAGCATTAACATTCTTTATGAAACGCAACATATAAACTTATATTCAGAAAAACTGTGCATTAGTAGTATGCTTCTAAATGCGAATCTAGAAGAATCTGATAAAGAGAATAAATATATAGTTTATAAACCGATATACACACAGAATATTGAAACGCCTATTCTTGACATTTATTTTAAGGATAAATTACCACCAGGAAATTACACTCTAAATATAAAATATACCGGTTCTGTAGCTAATGACGGAGGTCTCGAAATTTTCAGCGTAGGTGGGCATAATAAAAATATAACGTAAGTAAATGATAAATGTCTATTAAACAGTACAATGTATAATTACAACAAAGAAATTTTTTTTTTTTTATTTATTTTCTTAAAATATGATAGTTGGCTGGCTGCTACGATCTTCCGTGCAACTGGCGCTCGACGATTGTTTCCAGGCTGGGACAAGCCTGATTTAAAAGCAACCTTTAATATTTCTGTAATGCATTATAATCAGTACATGGTTCTGTCAAATATGCCAGTGCAAAGAATGGAAAATCGTCAACACAAAATGATGTGGACATACTTCGATATCACTCCTGCAATGTCCACTTATCTCGCAACAATTATTATGACTGATTTATACCGTATTTATAGTACATCTGGAGATGTCAGTATGTGGTGTAGACTTTATACCGCATCTCACTTGATGTTTGCAGCAGATGTAGCTGGAAATATTACGCTATTTTTGGAAAACGAATGGAAACGCTTCCCGAATATTTCGAAAGCGGAACATGTCGCATTTCCAAATTTCGAAAAAGAAATTATGGTGCATTTAGGAATCATTCTTTATAGGTGAGTACATGTGATTAAAAAGACAAAGAAATGTTATTTATAAAATAAATATTATAAAATAAAATAATATTGCAAAATTGTAATATTTAA